AGCAGGAATCATAAAATGAGGCACATACACAGCCCATGACATGCACAATTAAGGCAGAGTCCATGTCAAAATACATATACTCTGCTCCTATACTTCACTTGTGCTTGAACTGCATTGTTCCACCACAGGGATTGGACTCCTGGGTTACAGCCCTTCCGTGTGTGGCATCAGTTAGCTGTTTTGTACTGGGAGCTTGCGGCAGAATAAATGGGCAGCGACATAAAAAGCGTGGGTTTAGTATAATATATATACTGTATGCAAAAGAGATACACAAAAAACCTCCCAAAGATCCTTCCGTAAATTGTCAAACTTAAATTTGACTTTGCTATCCTTAATGTAGGTAGACTCCTAAGGGTCCAAGACTGCTTGCAGTATCAGTATGCAAAGTTAGACACAGAACCATTGCAGGATTATACTTCTCTTTTGAAATTAATAGAGAGATAATTTATGTAAAAATTGATGCTTTTTTAAATCTAAATATCCTTAATTTTAAAAAGGATGACAGTAAATAGATTTATGACATATAATGTTTTTTCTAATATTTTCCACTTTAAATTCTAGAATCCATTTACAGCCTAAACCTCAAAGGAACTTCAAGACACAGTCCAGCTTCTTGCATTATAGACTGGAGATAGTACAATATTTAGTCAAGCAGAAAAAAAAATTAGTACAAGATAATATTTATAATGAACAGTAATAAACCAAAGTCTCATTAAATTCTCTGAACTTCAGGTGAATTCTCTTTCCAGAACAGCTGCTAAACATTACTTACATTCTGCATATGAAAGTGTCAAGCATGACTCATTCTACAAATTCCATAGAAAATCATATGGAAGACTTCCATTCTTTGTTCTTCATTTTCAGATTCCTTTTTTTTTTTTTTTAAATGCTGCATCCTTTGAACAATTAGTTGTCTAGGCTAGAAACAATGATCCCTAAACCATATCTTCAAAGCAGGAAAATCTCATGTCCAATACAGATGTCATCGGCTTGAGTACAGCATCTACAACTGAGTTGAATATTCTAAAAGATCAGATTAAAAAAAAAAAAAAAAAATGGGGGGGGGTTATAGTTCCAAATGTCTAATGGTCTGTTTTGGCTAGTGAAGATTATTGTAATCTGCTGACCTCTTCAAAGCAAACCAATTTATTCCGGCCTTAATAAACACCCCATTTTTACCCATCTGTTCAAAGATGCAGCCAGAATTATTTCCTTTAACAATTGAATGCAATTGTCACTGGTAGTCATGCAATTATATGTGAATGCTTGGAAGAATGTGGTATTTAGAAAATGTCTTTGGGTTCACATTTGCTTGTCTGAAGCAGATTGTTACATATTCTTCAGGACAGTTCCCTAAAGGAATATTAAATCAACCTTCTTTGTACTTTCAGTCTTGTTACTATTTTGGTATCAAAAACCCTTAGGCAAACCACTGAAAAAAAAAATCATTATTCTCACTGGAATGCCACATATTTTCCTCTAATTTCTAATTATCTCACCTAATTATCAAAGATTAAAAAAATAAAAACATGGCTATTTATTTTCACTTATATAAAGTTGCATACAGCTTTCTGAGATCTCTGGGTTTTAAGGCTAAAAGCAGCTTGTCTTATCATCTAAATATGACTCCCTTAACTCAGGTCATAGCACTTCAATTAATTTCTTCTCCAATTCCCGTAACAGCAATGGAACTAGAGTGAGTTTTAAGTTCTATTTTTAGCTTCTAGGTAGGAGAATAATTTCAGAAGCATGTTTACAGCTCCCTTCATCTAAGATCTAGAGAAAAATATTACAGCTGTTTACAGCAAAAGGTAATTTTGTTCAGTTTAAACTTGCTGGTTCTCTAAAGCTAGTTAAAACACAATGACATCAGAGCATTTTAAGTTGAAGAATTCAGGGTCAAACTACTTACAGTAATGTTATGGAAACAATTTTAAAACCTAATAAATAATAATATGATGTGAGTAGTCATTAGATTGCAGAGGAGGCACTTTCAAGCTTTGTGCACACACGGTTGATAGCCTGAGAAACGCCTGCGTGATTTCATTGGCACTACTGTGCTGGTTTGGGCTGGGGTAGAGTTAATTTTCATCATAGTAGCTAGTATGGGGCTGTGTTTGGGATTTGTGCTGGAAACAGTGTTGATTATATAGAGATGTTTTTGTTGTTGCTGAGCAGTGCTTACACAGTCAAGGCCTCTTCCGCTTCTTGCCCCACCAGCGAGTAGGCTGGGGGTGCACAAGGAGTTGGGAGAGGACACAGCCAGGACAGCTGACCCGAACTGACGAAAGGGATAGTCCATACCATATGACATCATGATAGCATGTAAAGCTGGTGGAAGGAAGGAAGGAAGGAAGGAAGCGGGGAGACATTCAGAATGATGGCATTTGTCTTTCCAAGTAACAGTTATGCATGATGGAGCCCTGCTTTCCTGCACATTGCTGTTATCAAAATGTTCCCAGGCACAGCAGAGTAAGACAATAAGCAGTACAGCAAGAAGCAAAAGCAAAAAGCTTTCGAGCACTAGACTCTAATACATAGTAAGGCAAGCAAGCCCCATGGCAAGCACAGGAGCCTGCCATTTTATAGCTAAACAGCTATAAATTCCATCTAGCATGTTCCAATCAAGCCTGTGGTCATCTCAAACCCTTCGAGCCCCATGTTGTGCACCAAAAAGAACTGCCATGGTTTTGCCCAGCCAGGCAAACTCATGGATTGAGATAAAGACAGTTTAATAGGTAAAGCAAAACCCATGCACACAAGCAAAGCAAAACAAGGAATTCATTCACCACATCCCATCGGCAGGCAGGTGTTCAGCCATCTGCAGTTAAGCAAGGCTCCATCACACGTAACAGTTACTGGGGAAGACAAATACCATCACTCCAAATGTCCTCCCCCTTCCTTCTTCTTCCCCCAGCTTTATATGCTGAGCATGACATCATATGGTATGGAATATCCCTTTGGTCAGTTGAGGTCAGCTGTCCTGACTGTGTCCCCTCCCAACTTCTTGTGCACCCTCAGCCTACTCGCTGGCAAGGTGGTATCAGGAGCAGAATAAATTATCATTTTGCAGCAGAAATACAGTAACAGTTCCCTACATCGAAGTTCCAATTCACAAAAGTGTAGGTCTTTGAGTCCACCTAAAGGCTTCTTGGATGACAGAGCATGACTGCCAAGGGGTTTGGGCACTCACAATGAAGCATCAGTCCCCAAGTTCTCAACTTAATTTTAGCCTGGTTTCCCGAGAAAATTAGACAGCAGTGGGATGTCTATCAGTTTCCATCTGTTCTCTTTTTCTCTTTCAACACTTTCCCACACCAAAAGCTTTTGGGGTCAGTAGCCAACTTCAACATTTAGCAAAGCAGTGGAGTTCTAAAAGACACTAAGTGCCTACATCTTTTCCGCACAGAACATAGCCCTGGCACTAAGGTCATCGGTAAGTCAAGATGGGTAGGAAAATAAGAAAGGGCTCCAGAATAAGGTGATGTAATTTCTCCACACCGTTCCTGAAGTACAGTCAGTTATTCATTATTTGGAAAACAGGAAACTGGGATATATACAAATGGAAGAAAACCGGATAGTATCAGTCCTTCAGGACCCAAGCAGTGGTATTGGCTGTGCCTGCACCACATCTTCAGTTCACGTCACACAGTAACACAATGAAGCTATAATACTTTCAGACCTGATTTCAGTTTCCAGAAATAATACAGCTGCTATCAGAGCATATTGAACCATAGTTTATAAGCCTTAGTGCCCCAGGATAGAAGCTACATAAGTATGTCTGTTAGTTCATTCACAGATAGCACACAGTTATAGAATTAACCTGAAGTGTAAAAAAATCCTAGAGAAATTTTCTGTTTGACCACACCTCTCATCACAGGAGAAAATGTTATCCAGTGAGCTAAACAGGACTGGTCAATATGGTCAATTTTTTCTTTTGTGGCCATTGAACTTTGCAGACATAAGAGTAACTTAAAGAAGGGAAACTAGGGGGGGGAAAAAAAAAAACCACTGAATTTTTATTACAGTACTCACCAGTAAAAGGACAAATGGAGACTTTAATTCTAGTCCTTTCTTCTAAAGTTATATCCAAATTTTATCCAAAGATTATTTCATGTCAATAGCACTCCCACTGTCCATGTATCATATGGCATAGCTAACATTCAAGACTATAGA